ATATATTATAAATATATAAATATTTCCTTGCATGAACATTGTGTTAATCAGAACTCTGGAGAATGTTGGCTTATCAAACATAAATGTATGCATTTTAAATAATTAAGATATAGAAGCAAAGGAACTAAAAAAGAACAAAAACACAACAGCTAATAGGAAAAAATGGAAGCATATCATGTAAAAAAGTTATTCAGTGAAGTTTTTAAACACATTGTTAAACCTTGACCAAATGGAATAATACCACTCTTTTCATTACATCTATAAAGAGCCAGTTCATAAACATAAAGTGATCAAAGATCAGTGATTTAAGATTATAAATAGAGTCGTGCTGTCTTTCTAATGTTGAACAGTAGTCTGTTGTGTCCCATGCTTGATACATCCTTAGTTCTTCATATACATTCATATGGCTACATATAAGGTGTATTCATTTATAGACAAAGTACATTCACATCTTTAAAATGTTTTGATTTTCATAATACATATTTACAAATCTATGGTTATTAAACCAAAATGAAGTAATATTGAGACAAACTTATATCATCTCTAAAATAATGAGATTGACAGCCAACCTTTTTAACCATCCCTGACGTATCCAATAAACATAAAAGGGAATCTTTCTGAATTGATTCTTATAGTAATAAGAAATGTATTGTTTAAGACCCTTAGCCACTGATTTTTTAAAAAAAACTGAATATTTTAGTTCTTTGTTTCGGAGTTCTTGTAAATAGCTGATATCTACCTTAGTGATATTCTTTAATAGTTTATAAAAATATTGTAGACTTAGAAGCATTTAAAATCCATTCTAATGCTCACAATGATTTGGGAGTTTTAGATGCTGCAAATGAACTGGATCTACTTTTAAAATTAGAAGATTAATATACCAAAATTGTGTTGGGTGGTATTAGGTACAATAATCAAATTTTTCTTGCAGTAACTCAATTGATTGAAAACTCAATTAGTAAGAAACTGTTCTAGAATATTAATATTCCTACTTGCTCGAGACTTAGAAAAGAGATGAATTTGTAGTTTTCAGGTTGGGATTGTATGTATGTTTGTCCTGTGAATAAAGTTTAAAATTACATTTCCCTTCCAAATTTTCCAGATATGTCTAGCAATCTTTAATGAAGACAATACAATGGAACTATTGCTAAGTAGAGCCAAGACCCTGCCGTATTATCAAAAGAGTAATATAATAACTTTCTTACTGTGCTGATAAGCACTGATATTTATTTGGTCACTTGCATTCCATAAAGGTGTTGCAGTCAGAATATGTGCCCAGTGATAGAGCTGAAAGTCAGGAAAGTTAAAACCCACCTAATCATATGATAGCTGTAATTTAATAAAAGAAAACCTGGGAGTTTGTATTATCTTGTTGTATTTTCATGGGGGAGGGGGTTGTACTTCTCATTCTTCAAAAAAAAAAAAAAACCCTGTAGGTAAGTAGGTATACAGCAGTGGTTGGGGGATCCAATGTGAGGAGGCTGGAGGGCAGGCAGGTGGTGGAAGAAGTAGGGTTCATGGGGCACAATGGATACCATGTCAGACAATGGTTTTGCATTTCTGCTATACATAATCAAAGTTAATGCAGGACACTATGAGAAATGTATTTATTTTATTTGGTAAATTTATATAGCAGCTCATCTTACATATGTTACCCTGGGCAGCGAACAAAGTTAAAAAAGAACAGCACAACAAATAACCAAAAAACATAACAACAAAAAGCATTAAAAACATTAAAAGCAGTAAAACCATTAAAACCATAGAACATAATTTGCAGAACAGCAGAGTTTCCCTAACAATATACCACCTTACAGATTCCATACCCACATTACTGGATACCCAGGCCAATGGCAAAGCCATGTTTTCAGGCCCTTCTGGAAGGCCGGCAAAGTTGGGGTCAATCTGACTTTGGGGGAATTATGTTCCAAAGGATGGGTGCCACAGCAGAAAAGGCTCCTCTTGGGCTCCGTCAGAAGGTATTCCTTCATGGATGGGGCCCACAGCATGCCCTTTCTGCCAGACCTGAGTTAAAGCAGTATTTTGAGTTTTGTTGTTGATTCAAGAGTAAAAGACTGCATGATGAATTAGAAACTTAATGGTGATCCTAGATTTTATTTTCTAAACGTAGATGTGTGAGAATCCTAGGTAAACAGGAGAATATCAGAGTTATGCAACTGGCTCTGTTCCAGGGAGTTGCAAAGAAACATCGTGCTGCTGTTACCGTCGAGATGAAAGCATCTGACAATCCAGTTCTCCAGAACATCCAAGCAGATCCAACAATAATCTGTACTGCCTTTAAAAAGAACAGATTTTATGTGGTATGCTATATATTTTTAATTTATTAGTTTTATATAATGCTGTAGTCTCTAAGGAATACCAGGAGTTAACAATAGGAGTATAAGCAGTACAACAATATAAACACTTTTTTGTATTTTCAAGTCCATGTTCACTCCTGGCGACTGCTTGGACAAGTCCCTGTGGTTTTCTTGGCAAGATTTTCAGAAGTGGTTTGTATTGTCTTCTTCCTGGGTTGAGAGAGAGTGACTGGCCCATAGTCACCCAGATGGCTTTGTGCCTAAGGTGGGACTAGAAATCACAATCTCCTGATTTCTAGCCTGACACCTTAACCACTACACCAAACTGGCTCTATATAATAATAAAATTACCTGATACAATAAAAACAATAGAACAACATGACTCTAGTTATATCCCAGACACTTTCCAAAAAAACCTCCATCTTGACCAATTTCCAGATTGCTAAGTGGGTGGATGAAAACTTAACCATCTGATGGAAGCTCTTTCACAAGATGGAAGCCATCATCAATAAACAGTGTTAATGGGTCCTAGCCCTTTTCCCCTCATGAAAAAAGGGAACCACTAGCAGCTTTTCTCAAGATATATGGAGGAATGTTTCTGGATGTTAAGCATATAGAGCTTTTTTGGTTAAATCCTGCACTTCGAATTCCACCTGGAATCCTGTTGGAAGTTAGTGGACACCCAAAGGACTGGCAGATAATTACTGTCACTTGCCAGTGATTGGGGTGCTGCATTTTGAGTAATTGCAATTTGTGAGTGGTGTTCAAAGGTAGACTCATGTAGAACATATTGTATTTATCTAATTCAGATAGAGCTGCAGTGCGACACCAGTTGACATTGGGCAAATGCCTCCCTGGCGACAGCCTCACTTACTCATCTAGCAATAGCCATGAGTCCAAGAGAATCCCCAAGTCATAGACCTGTTCATCCAAACCCAAACAGCTTCCAAATGAATTAGCAATTCCCCCCCACAAGATAGTATGTCTGTTGTTATATAAATGTTAATATAAGAGTATTCCCTTGTCTTAAATCATGGTTCTAATTCCAATGTTTGTATATGCATGAATATTGAATTATGAGTTTCCTTAGGGCTAAGGCAGTCTAGGTGGCAGCTTCGTGAAGTAGTTGTTTTCATACACAGTTGCACTAGATTCAGAGAACTTGTCATGTCATTAATATGTTCCATCTTTTAAACCAAGAATAACTGCATTTTAGTAAAAGTTAAAGTATTCTTGAGTCAAGCTTGACTTCTGATGACTGCATTCATGCAGTTTTCTTGACAGCGTTATAGAAGCGATTTGCTATTGCTTTCTTCCAGGATGCATTCCTTTTTCAAGTTTATCTATGTACAGGTAGTCCTCGACTTATGACCACAATTGGGACCAGAACTTCTGTTGCTAAGCGATGCAGTCGTTAAGTAAGTTACGCCCAATTTACAACCTTTTTTGCCGCAGTCGTTAAGCGAATCACTGTGGTTGTTAAGTGAATCACATCATTGTTAAGCAAATCTGGCTTCCCTATTGACTTTGCTTGTTGGAAGCCCCCTGGGAAAGTTGCAAATGGGAATCACATGACCCTAGGACACTGCAACTGTGGTAAATACATGCTGGTTGCCAAGTGCCCAATTTTTGATCATGTGACCATGGGGATGCTGCAACGGTCATAAGTGCAAGGACTGGTTGTAAGTCACTTTTTTCAGTGCCATTGTAACTTCAAATGGTCATTAAATGAATGGTTGTAAGTCGAGGACGACCTGTATTCCTTTACACTTGAGTTTCCACCTAGCAAATTTCTTGCAAATGTGGCACCAAGTATATCTACCAGTTCATAATGTTACATAGGAAATAAATCAGTCCATCAGATATTTAGATCCTAATCACTGTAAAGCTTTTTATGCCAAATCAAGCATGTAGAAGTTGACTCAGTAGCAGATTAATTATTTGTACAGCTTTTTCAGAACAAGTGTAATAAGTTCACAAGAATTTGATCCTTTTAGATGTGTAGCTATAACTTTTTGTATCAGGAATGTTGCTGCACTCTAACTTCAAGCAAATTCAAGTGAGGGTTGTTGGGAGTTTTAGTATAACAAAGTCTGAAGGATCACAGATCATCTACTCCTGTGCACTGTATGATGAAGATGATGATGATGGTGATCTGTCAAGTACTTGTTGACTCTTAGCAACCACATAGATTTTCTCCATGATGATCTGTCCCTGACTTGATCCTTCAGCTCTTCCAATAGTGTACTCATCGCTACTGTAAGTGAATCTATCCACTTGCTGCTGGTCATCCTCTTCTTCTCTTTACTTCCACCTTTCCAAGCATTAGAGCCTTCTCCAGAGAACTAGGTCTTTGCCTAACTGGACAGTTTTTGATCATGTGACCATGGGAATGCTGCAAGGGTTGTAAGTGATCTGTGAACTTTAACAATAAGTACAAAACTAGAATTCATCTGTCTTGTCTTTCAGTTTACCAAACGTGAACCAGAAGATACCAAGAGTGCAGATTCTGATAGAGATGTATTCAATGAGAAGCCATCTAAAGAAGAAGTCATGGCAGCCACTCAAGCTGAAGGGCCCAAAAGAGTTTCTGATAGTGCTATTATCCACACAAGCATGGGAGATATTCATGTCAAGCTCTTTCCTGTTGAGTATGTATATGAGAACTACTATAAATCTATTGTTGGACCTTTCACTAACATAGTGAATAGATGTTAAGATGCTCCTAGTTCCTTTTGTTCCAACCCTGCAGCTGCTTTCTGGTGTGGCATATTCATCTGTAAACAAATTCTCATTGAAAGCTAAAGAAGGTATTCATTTCATTTCTCCCCAGATGAAGCACATGTTCATTTGTATACTCTTTCCCCTTTTGTAAGATAATCAGAATCAGACTTCAGCTTCAAAAGAAGGGGAATTGTCCTTATTTCTGCTCTCATATATTGCAAAACACGGGCAAATCTTATAAACCAAAGTGAGGAAGCAATGTTAATTGGCCATATGCATAGTTAAATTGATGACTTCACAAGTACAAGATGTAATGACAGCCACAGTGTAATAGGACACACACAAATGCATACATGCCTGGGAAGTAGTGGGTTGGCCTTTCTCATTCCCTCAAGTGGAGTGTCCCTAAGACCTTAACCACAATCCCTGCTGCAGCTCCCACATCTCTGGGGAGAGCTTGTTTGAAAAGTGCTGTTACCAACCACTTTCCCTGACAAATCCGCTCTGGTACTAATTTACTCAGTAGTAGGTATAGTGGTGACATCCTCCTCTGCCTTCCTTCTTTTGTTTTGCTGTCTGACTGGGGAGCTAAAGTTAAAATCCTTTCAGGAGCAGAATTACTGATTCAGTAAGAATGTAAGTCTTTATTGTATGGATCAAGATTAAGGAACTAGATGGAAATGGAAAGGTGAAAGGAAAAATGGAAAAAAGGGAAGCAAAAATCACCTCAGCTGTTCTTTCTTCAGTCAGAAATATGCACCGTGCATGCATGCACACACACCAACATACAGGCACAGAACAATGTATAACAAAGGCACCAGAGTACAAATCATTTTCCATAAAATAAAATCTAATCCTCATTCCGCTGGAACCTGAGATTGTAACAGCTGATTTACCTGACTTTAAGATAATCCAGGAAGAGACGCTCTTGCTCCCGCTATGAGAGAAAAGGCAAAAACAAAATGAAGCTGAGACCTTTTTTAAAAAGCCCACCTGCGGATGAGTTTCTTCTTCCTCCCCCCCATCCCCACAACTGGCTCTCTAGCATTTGATTTCCCTTCCTTCATTACACACAATTCTACATCCAAATGTAGGAAAAGGCTGTACAGTGGTACCTCGGTTTACGAACTTTATTCGTTCTGTGACTCTGGTCACAGCCCGAATTGGTCGCAACCCGAAGCAAATTTCCCCATAAGGTTCAATGTAATTATCGTTAATCCGTTCTGGTGTGGAGGACAGGGAGGCGGCTATGGCTTGGACGGAGAGTCCCCCTCCCTACGACCACGTGTTGGGTGGAAAATGGCCACGGACCACGTGTCGGGCGGGAAAATGGCCGTGGACCACGTGTCAGGGGCGGAAAAATGGCCGCGGACCACGTGTCAGGGGCGGAAAAATGGCCGCGGACCACGTGTCGGGCAGAAAATGGCTGCGGACCACCTGTCGGGCGGAAGAATGGCCGCAGACCACATGTCAGGGGCAGAAAAATGGCCGCGGACCATGTGTCAGGGGCAGGAAAATGGCCACGGACCACGTGTCGGGCGGGAAAATGGCCGTGGACCACGTGTCAGGGGCGGAAAAATGGCCGCGGACCACGTGTCGGGCGGGAAAATGGCCGTACCACGTCACGGGAGGGAAAATGGCCGCGTATCCTGTTTGTACCCCGAGGTGGAGTTCGCAAACCGAGGCAAAATTTTGCGTCCGGAACTGGTTGTAACCCGAAAAGTTCATTAACAGAAGCGTTCGTAACCCGAGGTTCCACTGTATTAGTTATTAGTTACGAAGGCGACATATTTACCTCTGGTATTGTATTGCCTCTGACTACCAGTTGTTGAAAACACAAGGGTGTGCTCCTGTCCTGTTTACAGCCTTTCCACTGTCATTGCATTGGTCACTGTAAGAACAAAATCCTAGACTAGATGGGCTTGGTAGGGTCCCTCTTATGTCTAAGTGAAAACATTCGGTTACCATAGTTTGCTAAACCTTGTATTAACAGGAAAACTCTCTGATTACAGGTGCCCCAAAACAGTCGAAAACTTCTGCGTACACAGCAGGAATGGTTACTATAATGGCCACACCTTTCACCGGATCATAAAGGTAATTGATGGCTATTCATCTTTTTCAGCATTTATAATATACTGTTTTCTTACTCTTGGTTCAGTGAAATGGCCAAGTTGAGATGCCTTTATTCACATTAGCAAAATTGCTGTAGCTTTGATTTACTTAGTTAATTATGGCTTTTTGTATGGTACTTCATGTTCTGTGAGTTTCGTATTTCTGAAGCAAATCTGTGTCTGTTTTCTTAGTTGTAGGAAAAATCAATTTAAAATGTTTATACATTGTATGTATGTATGTATGTATGTATGTATTTAACTTGTCCCTGCCCATCTCCCCCCAATGGGAGATCTTATAATGTTGATATATTGCTTTTACTTCATGACATGTCTTAATTTGGGCACAGATTAGATACAGAGATAAGGGTTTTTTAAAAATACAGTTTAAAAATGCTGTGTTGCTAATGCAGTGAAATATTGAAGCAGTTTTAAATTATATATTTGGAATACTGTGCAGAGTTTTTAATGCCTGTTGCTTGCAGACGTTTCATTACCCAACTGGGTAGCATCATCAGTGCAAGTGAGTGTGGGTTTACTCCCTGTTTATATGCAGTAGCTTGCCCTGCCAGTATTGGTGGGGGTGTGGTTTTTTCCTTGATTGTTATCCTTGATTAGGGATTGTTTTCTGCTTGATTTCTTGTCTGGGGTTAGTCCCTGCTTATCTGGGTGTTGGCTGCTGGAGAGGGATGTTTTCTGGTCTTTTTGTTTCCTTCTTAGCTTTTTTATTGTCTCTTTTGAATGAATTTTTTTGGATTTGGCTTGCTCTAGGATGCTCAGTTTCCCAGTTGAAACTGTGATTGAGTCTGTCCATGTGTTGTGAGATTAAGGAGTTTTCATCATGTCTTCTGACTGCTAGTTGGTGCTCATGGATGCGCTCTGCTAGTCTTAGTCTTCTGCCTGTCTGTCCTACATAGTAGCTGTTACAGTCCTTACACTGTATGTTGTAGATGACTCCTGTTTTTCCTTCTTGGGCTACTAGGTCT